AATGGAATAAAACGTGTAGTACAATTGCACTCGCAAAGAGTGCAATGGAACGTATTCCATTGCATTCTTGGGAAATGGAATTTTGTATTCAATATCATGTGACCATAAACAGCCAATTAAACGATCAGAATTCAATAAGGTATTATATAAAAACATATAACAAACACTTGTGTCTAGTTTCCAGACCATCATATAGTATATCTTGATAGACAATGATCAGACTATGTGAATATATAACCAGAACCCCTGGTTGACCAAGAAGTGCTGGTCAAATTAACCAGACAATGGCAGGAAAATGTTTTAAATAACCTGGAAATTTAACCAGCAATATTAAGTTAACCCAAATGGGATTATATCTGGGATAATTTTTTTGAATGCCATGAATTCTCAACATAATACAGTATAGCATTAACTTACGAATAGTTTTGTGAATAATGAAAACGACAATTAAAACAGAAATTTTTGAAACATCCATCTTTTTAATTCTTGATCACATGATTGAGTCAGTTACAGCTACTGTATACATTGATCTTCCCTGTAAGATAAAAGAAAATGCCTTATATATAATTGTGGCACTACACACAAATTTATTTTATTATATGTTGTATGCAAGTAGAAAAATTTGGTATTTAGTGCTCCTCTGATAAAATTTGATTACACACATATAAAAAATGCATTAGCATATGTTATTCTACACGTTTTTGTAGTATATTTTATATATGTACTACTTTGTAATAAATATACACATAATTTGCATATAGGAACTAAATATATATTTCACAGATAACAACGGAACACAAAATTGATTATTTCATATATTCGATAACAAAACACAGTAAAAATATTTTAATATACCTCTAAGTGGTTTAACAGCTATCTTTCTTAATTCATATAATATATATCCTCCAAGGAAAATATTGAATTTGTAATAATTGAATTGATTGCTATATGATAATGTGGATTAGTTTCACCGAGGTTTATATAGTCTTGCGCGATTGCTCTACACAGGTACAACTATTGTCCTGTCTAAATAAACTCGCGTCACCTGCCAGATTTATTTGAACACGTGTGCTTTGAAATAAGCTTATTACACACGTAAAACGCACAAGTTGTTACAAGTCTGCAAACAAGTCGTTACAAATCTGTTCACAAGCTGTCAACAATTAAGTTGTCTTCGCACTGCTTGTTCCCAGTTGTTGTAACAAGTTTGGAACAAACTGTTAAACAACTTGTAACAAGCTTGACGGCATTATCAGACTTGTTACAAGGTTGTTCTAACAAGTCTGATACAGTCATGATAAGTTTGTAACAATATTGTTATATCATGACTGCATCGGACTTGTTGGAACAACCTTGCAACAAGTCTGATAGTATCAATAAGGTTGTCACAAGTTGTTAACAGTTTGTTCCAAACTTGTTGACAACTTGGGAGAAGCAGTGCGAAGCCAACTTGTTGACGGCTTGTTGGCAGACTTGCTGCAAAATGTGAGATTTTTACATGTGTAAAAGCCTCCTAAAAGCCTACTAAATAAACTATAAACTACTATAAGCTTACTAAAAGTCTCCTATATCTAGGGGTAAAAGGATCAATAGTCAACCAAACACCAAAATTCACTTCGTCTTTAGTTGACACAACTTTCGGCGATATTATTACGCAGATCTTTCAATCCACCCTTTTCGAGATTGGCCTCATGCCAGGGTTAAAGAGTCTGTCACTCGTGTGAAAAGAGTCTGTCAACGCTCTGCCAAAGTCGTGGGTTTTCTCCGCGTGCCCCGGTTTCCTCCCAAAGAGGAACTAGGAAAACATAGCTATATAGGAAAATAATACCAGAATTGTTGTAAAAGATAAATAGTCTAGGCTAGGTAATATAAGTTTTAAACATATATAGTACTTGATGTGACATGTAACTGATTCTGAAAAGGGGCGATGGGGACAGAACTATGTAAGACGACGCATCACGCATGATTATAAATATATTATTTTATTCAAATATTCAGTCTATTTACAAATGAAATTATTTAATATTACTTATTATTTCCGGCTGTTTCTTGGCAGCCATTTTCGCTTTTGTTGTTTTAAAAATAAAAACTCAAGTCCAGACTTCAACTGCGAATCGGATGGTAAAAACCCATCTTCCACAAGTTCTTCGTGTTCCGTGTCGGTTTCGCCGAAATCGGTTTCAGGACACGCCGGGTCGTTGTCGGTATATGTCGGATCATTATCGGAGCACATCTGTTTGTTGTCTTGAAGCATCGGCTCAGGTTCATCGGTACTCGTATTTTCTTCGGAGGGTTTCGTAGCTCTTCGTGAACTCGCCGTTCGATCTCGTTTAAGATCGGCCGACCAGCGCCTTGTGAAGTATGAGATTACAAGCAGAGCCCCGACCAAAATAGCGACTGTTGAAATCACAAAACCAGTTGCGATTATTATAGCGTGATAGGTTGAGGTCTTTAGCTCGGGAAGCTTCTGAAAATATAAGATTGAAATCATATAAACATTGCGAACTAACTGAATAGCTCTATCAGTTCTTAACTGTTCTCTGTAGAGGTCTAGTAAGAGTCATCCCTTATTGATCCAGTGTTACTACAGAAGGAAACCTCAACTAAACTAACTTTATTTATACTGGATGTGCCAGCTAACAGTTTAAAAATGGTAATCGAGCCTACGTTGAAAAGCAATTACCTTGCCATTTCGTAGCCGTGAAACTTCTTCCTTGGCAATTTCCGAATCGTTGGCTTCGTTCGATTTCATGAATTCGTGAAATAATTTCTCAGAATGAGCGATTTTCTCCGAATTTGCCTCCCCAGTTTCAAGCGGGGCATCTTGTTTACCTATGAGAGTGAACGAAAGTAACTTCATATCAGACATATTTTCGTTCATTTGAACATGCTAAAAAGAAAGTTTTAGATCGCGTTCTATTTCTTTATGGATTCAATGTGAACACTTACCCTGTAGTTCGTAGTAACATAAATAGATAGTGTGATCTTTCTCCCGGGGTTGAACACCGTAGGGATAAAATCCCCGTGCGGACGTTTCGATCTCTCCTCTGTCCTCCTCGTCGAATTTGACAAATTCAAGACTACTCCGCATTTTCTTGACCTTAAAAGTAAAACAATATTTCTAAGAAATAATTTAATCGAAAGAAAGCAATTCCTTACAAAAAATGTTGTGCACACACAATAATAGACTGGGTAAACATCCGGCTTTTGGGCAACTAATTGTTGAAGCTTCACATTGAAAAACAAACTCAATGAAACGAACTTTCGGTTATACTGCTGCTAAAGTTTGGAATGAAAGAAATAAAACTCTTGAACGACTATAGTGATTATAATAAACTAGTGATTACAAAGCCCAGTCGAATTGTAATCAAGACCCAACGTTTCGACACCCTAGTATAGTGTCTTCTTTTTCATTAGATCACCCCTGATGAAGACACTAGATCGGAGTGTCGAAACGTTGGGTCTTGATTACAATTCGACTGGGCTTCGTAATCATGTATTTAAACCAGAGTAGCGAGAGAAACACGATTGATATACCTGGTTGCAGTGAACGAACAAACTTTAAATCTTTCTAATATTATTAGGGTGGCTTGGGGAGGGTGGGTGGGAATATTTTATGCTGTCAGTAAGTACACGGCCTAATGAAAAGCAACGACAACCTTGTAAATATTTTTTTTAGTTGATTAGCTACCGTGTTAAAATATGTTTTAGTACATAAATAAATAAATAAATAAATAAATATGAAAGATTTTGTAGATGAAAGTTTCGAGTATAAATTTATATACATTTATTAGATCTAACGATCTATTTTAGATGGCTTTTGTTAGCATGTGTTGTTCCAATGTCAAGGTTACAGCCGAGACCGGTCTCAAATGTATTTGTGTGTACATTGATCCCGGTCTGAAGTCAGCCAGCTTGGTCCAGCACGCGTTCCGACTTGAGACCGAGTTAAGCCTGGTTTACATATGCCTGCGACTGTATCATTATGCCTCTACTTGCCGCCGAAATACCGGCAAAGTTGAACTCAAGTCAACTTTCCCGGCCTATACCGCAGCTACCGCCGATGTAACTGAGGCACTGGAGGCAATCGGCGAACAAATGTTCACATAATTTACGTTTTAAAGCTACCATTGGCATCGTCGCCGGTACGTCGCAGGCATATATGTGAACCAGGCTTTATTTTCGTCCCGGTCTCATGTAAACATCTACAGTTAGAAATAATACTGTGACCGAAACGAAATGGTCCCGGTTTGACTTCGTTCCTGTCTCATGTAAACGGGGCCTGAGCTACAGAGTGCAGTTGTCGAGCTCTACTGACCGCAGATTCCTGTCACTGGGTCTATAGCTGCATTTTTCACAACTGCTCCCGGTTAGGTCTATGGGGCTGATTGCATGGTGCCGGGCTGGCCCGGTTAACCGGGCTGACGCGTTTGTTTAGGACCTTACTGTGGTTTTAAAACTTGCGTAAAATAAATTTGCGATAAATAATTGGTTTAGTATAGATGCAAAATCATCCTAAACCTGACTCAAAACTCATTTTGCGGCCCAAGGAAGATTTTCGTTAGGTTCGCCCGGTTAACCGGGCTGGCCCGGTCCATGTAATCAGCCTCTTAAAAATGTATAAAATTTGCACTTCGGAAATTTGACATCTACAAAATCCTTCACTAAACCACATACCCACCTTTTGACATGCAGTGTCCCCATAAGGGAACAAATAAAACGGTTTCTCGGTTGGCAAAACAATTTCAGATTCAGCTTTGCCAGTTGTGCTGCAGCAGAACGATATCTTTGTTTTATCCGTGTACTCGCCCTCAGGCAGGTCGCCATTAAAGTGGTTCTTGTTGTCTATATTCTCGTCATCCCAGTAAACAAAACCTGCCTGTAGACCGCCGGGACAACCAGCACCTTTCTTATATATGCAGTATTTACCTTGAGGCCAGCTAAAATAATTAATAGAGAATAATGTCAATACAGTGCGGTTTCAGCGTAACGTTGAAACTCGACTTCGCCACGGGCAACAACGACGGTCTTGGGGCAGTGGCGTAGCCAGTCCGACGATTCAGTCCCGCTATGCAAATATTGCCATTTTTATAAACTATCAACACAATCGATTTCTAAAGAAATGAATAATGATGATGAGTGGAAATGTGCATATCGGGACCAAATCGTCATGCTGGCTACGCCATTGTCTCGGGGCCACAAAGCACGCTGTTTCCCTCGGTCTCAGTAAATAAGGGATAATTATTTTATGTAATAGACCCATTGCACTAACGTCACAAGTCCTTGGAGTGTCCTCCAGATGCTCCCTAACAATATCTGTTCGGGTACAGCAACCACATACAGCGCAAAAATTAACCATTTTAATACAAAATTATTATAAAGTTTTACAAAATTTTCTTTGTTTACAAAAGTTATATTATGCATAGATGGCTAATTTGTCCTCCAGATGCATCGTCACTGGCGCTGTGACGTCATGTGCAATGGGTCTATAATTATAAATAGTTCCCAAGTATCTCTTTACCTTTTTAATCCGACATCTTTTGTTTTCATACAGAACTCCCACGTGATTCCATCTTCAGTGACGTCACCAGCAAGATGGTACGCATCAGAGTTATGGTTTTCAGTCCCATCGTCTTCGGTGTCGTAGAACCTCGTGCCAGTCTTCCAGAGAAAACCTGAGGACTCTGGACAACCTGATTTCGGCTTTGGCAATCCATACGTTCCAGAGGGCCATAAAACTGTAAGTAAAATAATTATACCTTAAACGTTATGTACAATATCACAACCTCGTACACAGGGTTCTCTTTGTGTACGATATCACTGGAAAAAATTTTGAAAATCCATAGAA